CGCTGACAAACTTTCAGCCTTTATAAAATAACGTAGGTCTGGCGTTCAGTAGCTCTTAGTCTAAAAGTATCCTGGGTTATGATTTATGTCTCCACCATCCTCCTACCTCCTCTGAATAAGATTTTGGTATTTTTGAAATAAATGTGTATAACTTACAACTCGTTTTTAACTCTTAAACCTAACAAAATCATAGTATAATTTTTTCTCGTGGTAGTAGTCCATTCTCCGACCAGGTGTTAAAACACCACCCATTTTCCGGCTTTTCCAGTTGACCAAGAATTTTTCTAAAATTTTTCTGTGGATACTTGACCTCTATTTAGAAACATACTAAAAATTTATAAAAATTGACAAGGATAAAAAGTTTCAGGAGTATCTGGGTTAATAATCTTGCAGGTCCAGAGCTTTCTCGTTAAAAAAGGTTCAGATTAAAAAAGCAGTAATTTATCTATCAGTCTAAAGACCTCCACTAATTTACTAAACACACCCCAACTACTTTACTTAATCTCTAAAAATCTAAACACACTCCAACTACTTTACTTAATCTCCCAAATCTTAAAGAATCGTCAGTATACGAGTATTATAGTCTTTTTGTGTTATTTTAAACTCAAGTTAATTAGTCAAAACTATCACAATATTCGCTAAGAAAATTCAAATATTCTCAGAAAAGTGGAGTCAAATGTACGAGCCCCTGATAATACATCAGTGTCAAGCGTTCCTACAATCCTAGTCTCAGTGTCTACTACTACTACTCATTTGTTTTAACCCTTTTCAAGTAGAATAGACTCTTGTCAGCTAGGTGCTTGACTGGATTTATTAGATTTGTAAAATATAAAACTGAATATAAAATAGTCTTATTTTTATTGGATAACTCATAAATACGGATGTATGTTAATACTGTTAGAAGAGCGGTAACCTCCTACTACAGGTATTCTTATACTTAAAAGGATGGTTACCAAAATACTTTGTGAATCTACTTTATTTATAACATAAAACATTTTCATTTTATAGTAGAAGAAAATCATATTTTCCAAGAAAAATAATTTTGCAATGAAACAAAATTTCTTACCTCGTCCAGCATAAAATATTGTCCTGTGAGAACTCTTGTAATTTTTCAGCCAGTTGAACATTCTTCTTCTTCGTCACTACATTCTAATCGTGTACTTGTTGCAGTTAAAACTCTTAATCAGTCAAAACGAGTTTTGACTGCAAAAATCAGTCAAAAAGTGATATTAACCAAGGGCATCAGCCAAAACCACTTTTGACTGATTTTTGCAGTCAAGTGGTTTTGACCGATTATGAGTTTTCACTGTAACGTACTACAGGTTCACGCAATCGTGTACTAGAGGTTCATTCATACATTCGTTTTCATGGGCAAAACTATTTGAAATGCGCAATCAAAACTATTGATTAAACAAACTCTAACTTCGAAGCACCACATTTAAAGTGTGAAGTAGGTACTTAATAACAGCCCTATTTCACAACAAGGGTGCCGTATTTTCCAAAGACCCTACAGAATTAAGATCAAAGCCTAATAGCACATAATTCGTCACATCCCATTCGAAAGCTTGTCACGCGAATGTAGGCTTAACCGTATGAAACTAACATACGAGATCGTACTTAAATGTAATTTAATTATAGAGGACATAATATATGCGAATTAAGCGGTGGTTGTTAACTTAACGACATGAATGGATTAGTTATATTCTTAATGGGCACAGTGTAGACTGTGTAACAGTAACAATAACGTGTCTATTTTGTAGGTTAAATGTTTTTCCTAATTAAAAGTAGGCTAGGTTTTGAAATGAAAATGTGTACATTATCTGTGTAGGCCGGTGCCAAACCGGGTAGAAACCGCGGCGGTTCGTCAAAACACGCACTTACCGGTAATTGTGATTATACAGGGTGTTAGGTAAATGGGTATATGAGCCGACACTAGCCCATGTTAACATGGGCATATAAATGGTATGGTGAAGTCAGGATGTCATCATTTTGTTTTTTTTTTAATTTTCATGCAAGATAAATTAAATAAAATCTGATTTGTATGAAAATTAAAATAATTAAAATGAAGCTATTAGTATCAATTTTCTGACATCACCATACCATCTATATGCCCATGTTAACATGGGCTAGTTTCGGCTCTCCATTACCTAACACCCTGTATTCATAAATACTTGCTATTTACGCCGTAATCGTTTTACTCGTAATATTATTCTTGACTTCCTCTTATGTACGATTTTTAAGATTTCTTGGAGTTGATTACGAATTACAAACGGAAGATATATTCTTTGAATAAAATTGTTTACTTACGAGTAGATATCCTGAAAACTTACTGAAACGAAATATTTTACTGTGGCACAGCTATCGCATTCATTTTCATTGTAACGCCATTAACTCATATTAACGAGACTAGTTCGGGTAATTTATAGAAGTGGAGAAGCGACACCCATTTTCAGTACAGGTAATTTAAATTGCTTACACTAAAGACAATTTTATTGCAGTTTTTACAACGTGGGCAGGCCTCCCACTAGGTGGACCGATGATCTGGTGAAGGTCGCGAGAGGTGCCTGGATGCGAGCGGCGCAGGACCGGTCTTTGTGGAAATCCTTGGGGAGGCCTTTGTCCAGCAGTGGATGTCTTTCGGCTGAAACGACCGAACGAACGTTTTACAGTTTTTATTTGACCTTGACTAACCTTGTTTAGTTAGTAAGCTATGAAGTTAATTATAACCTAGTAGATCTAAACATCAGATACAAACTGTATCCAGAAGTACTTATCGTCAAAATTTACATGATCCAAGCCCCTTGTATCTCATTCAATCATTTTTTATAGTAAAATATCGAAAACTTAAACATACCTAATTATTGTCAAATTGTTACGATACCAAATGCGTATAGAAGTCTATTTACTATAGGTATTGACTTTTTCAATAAGGAGCAGCATATGGTCCCAAGAATTAATCTGCTTTACTTGTTAGTACAAAACAAATACCAGCCCAAAATCTATGCTACCAAGGAAAGTAGTAAGTAAGGTCTTAGAGAGACAATAATTGCTTGCACGATTAAGTAGCAAGCTAAGCTGTAACGTCCAATAAGATCCGGCAGAGTGCGACACACGGGCGTTTTGCACGCCGCGCCCGTTAAGAAATCGTCAGCGAGTTTACACGGTTCGATACGTTGACGATTTGATTATGGTTCTTTTAAGTAGTTATTTGTGTACCTAGCTAGAGCAGATCAACAAAACAGTAAACTCGGATTGGACCCCAAATTGATATGAATTAATTGTTTCCACTCTGGAACTGCCTACATTGTGGTTCACTTTGAATGGAAAAACGTGAATTTTTCAGAAGGATAATGATGTTTTGAAGTTCAGACCGTAATATATGAGTTCATCATCATTGCTCACGATATACTCCCCAATGTAATAACGAGATTTTCATGAATAATTTCCATGTAGGTAAGTATCGCTCTGTGAAGAAACGTTTAAAACGATTATGCCAGTTTTAAACAAAGACTGTTTCAACAAGAACTCAAAGCAATAGGGCATTATAAAAACGTTTTTTTTTTCAGTATCAATTTGTAAAATAATGAGATCGTAACGTATAAATGGCACAATAGGTATTTAGTTGGGTGGAACCAATTAGACGAAGCAGCTTCTCCGTCGTATAAACATTTCTGCACTACTTCTACATTGCACAGATGTATTTACTTAACGGTATCAACACCACATGTTGTCATTTGTACATAAAATAATATGTTTCTATAACATTGCATCGATAAATTTTTTCTTAGTACATAAAGAACAATGTAAATGTTTTATTTTACTAGCCTTTTCATGACTCATTACAATGTCTACTAGGTACTTACAATAATTTATATAATATTAATAACCATGAACACGTATTTTGCATTTTCTTTATTTTCAAAGTTTTTATTTACTAAGAAAATAATTTAAATTAGAGTCACCTTTATAATTAAAAAAGGCAACAAAGAACAATTTTGTATGGTATTAACTAAATTAAATTAGTAAGTAGGTAAATAAAAAGTTTAATTCAGTAACTACCATACAAATTGATGCTGCTCGCTTTAAGACATCTTAACTATTCAAATAACTATCTAACTACAGATATTATTGAAAAAACCTGAATAATTACTTTAATTATTGAAGCCACGATAGCTGGAGGTGAAGGCGTTGGAACTCGCACTAAGCCCCTGAAGACCGCGGGTTCGTGCGCCGCCACCGCTCGACTAATGGTGAGCTCAATTGTAGCACAAGCAGTTAGCTACTAAGCTGAACATGCTAACTAGGGGCATAAAAAAATACATGCTAGTAAAATTCAACGTAGGACTTTTGCAGGTCCTATTCTCGTTAAGCATTTCGTCCTATCGTACGAATCTAAAACGCCCTTTACGCGTACCTACCTAAACCCTTGCATCTGGGCATCTGTGAGGGATGTCGGCGACAAACGACCAACATAAATTAGGGACTTACACCCGGTTCGGAACAAGCCTGCTATAGGTATGAAGGATACATCGAACGGTTACCTTGGATTTATGGGGCTTCGGGAATAAGGTCAGGACGACATGAGACCTTTATTTGCGCAAAGACTTTAGGCAGGATGATGAAAATAGGTATGTTTACCTGATTATGTAACTAACATGAGTAATCGTGAAAAACTTTGGTCGATTAGGTACTTTTAGTTTCCGATCATCCACTAGACCTCTTCCCGTTAACCACTAGTAGTACGACATAAACACATTTCTACGGCTACTACTCATATATATAATTCGCCATCATCATCATCATGATCAGCTACAGGACGTCCACTGCTGAACATAGGCCTTCCCTTATGATTTCCATAGAATATTGAATTGGATGAGTGCTGTTGTATAGATAACGTATTCACTAAATAAAAGTTTATCAATCTTTTTGCTCTACAAAAAGGTTCCAACGCCTCCTTTTTAAACCACTGTCAAGTCCTAATGACATCCTTGTCAAGAATTTCGGCCATGTCTCACGACAATGCCACGCTATTTTTATTTATTGTGTTTACTACTTGCCATGAATGGGGCATTTTGTTATGATTATATATCTGATAGAAACTCGCAGAACAATCACGGGAGACGATTAAGCAAAAAGTTTAGGAACCAAAAGGCAGGTGACAAGCGATTCGTTCACAAAAATCGTCCGGAATATGAAATGGCTGAAGAAAAAGAGCCCTTGGCACAAATCGACGTAGCCAGCTTTATACAGAAGCCGGACGAGTATTCCATTGATGAAAATTTTCCTTATGAACTTGAAAATAAGGGAAGGTATGTGAGATTTATGAATAGTTAGGATGATCGTAAACAGACTACAAGTTGTCATGATATCTGGTTTACCACTAGTCCACGGAGAAATATACCTAAAAACTCGAGTCATCATTATTGCGCCGCATTCTCAAATACAAAATTAGCATAATAAATTAAACGTTGTACGTATTTCTAAATGCCTATTATAAAATATTTCAGGAATCCAAAGTTGAAGCACGAAAACGACTACGGATCTTTATTGGGATATAACTCGGAAGGGTACATTATGAAGAATACCAACAGAGGCCCGTATTATTTGAACTCCAATTCAGATAGCTCGTTCGATTTAGGCCCCAACCCACTTCGCATAAAAGACCCGTTTAATTCGCGTCATTCGAATTTAGATTCTATGTCGCTGTATGGGCTGGGTAACGAAAAGTTTGCGAAGGATTCGGAAAACAAGGCCTATTCAAACAATTACAAGAACGATTTATATGAGACGAACTCTAATCTCATTCATAATCCTGAAAAGAAGTGGTAAGTGGGACTTTAATTCTTATTTCAAATGGGTAATTTTACTTAACTCTAAATATGTTGTTCCCAAAATTGTTTCCACTTAGACTCTAAAATAATTTGCGCCATTTTTTCAGCATAAGGAAATATATGAAGTTCCCGTTTTTTTCCCATAATAAAACCGCCACGACTAAACCCAAGAAAGAGAAGAAGAGAAAAGTATTCTGCTTCAACTGCTCTAAGAAAGAAAAATCAAAAGATCAGAGTGTAAGTATCGTGATTCGTGAAGCAGCACTAGTGTATTAGTAGTTTAACCCGGTCGCACAAACCGCGTAAATATTTATTTCTATTGTGTCTCGATTCGCGGGGCTTGAAGGGCTACATATTAACAATTTAAGTTGCCACAGTCTTTTTTGTATTTATGTGATGGTTCCATACAAGAATATTAAATAAAAAATACAAAATAATGAACAAATAAAAGAAGAGAAAAGATTTGAGTACGTAATATACTACACATACATTAACTTAGACATTGTGTATTTAGCTCTATAGATACTAAAGTACTCATTAATACTTTTCAGAATGACCCTAAAGAAACAGGAAAGGAATACAATCTAGAAACACTTAACAAGATTTCCATGAACGACCCATCTGACAATTTAGAAAATCTTAAAACTAAATCAACTAGAGGCAAAAGAGATGAACTATCAGACGCTAGTGATAGAGAAAGACAATTGAAGGAACTTGATGAGATACAGAGAAAAGTAGACAATTTGGAAATTACGTCATCATCATACCAAAAGGCTCCATAATTTTTTAATGTAATCCTATATAGTCAGTGATTTTGTTTTAGAAATAAATGTATTTAAGATTAACAAATCTTTTTTTTTTAATGCGTTTCTTTGTATGGGCGGGCGCCTTCAAATTAGTGCACAACTACATTTGATTCAATATCAATGTTTATACCTATGTTATCCTTGAAATTGTAACTATTATAATAGCCATTGAAGCTACCTATTTGAGGTTCTGTGCTCTATTTCTAGGCAGATCATACAAACCTCGTTTTATTCATCTCAACCACTTCACTTCTAGATCCACAGGACATAATAAATATAATAATAAGCTTGACAGGGCAGAGGCACCTTCGATATTACTGCAATGCATAGGGTTTAGGACATTGGGTCTGGGTGGTAGTTATGCCTGAATTATTTGAACCTAATTGATTAAATAACAAGTGGTTTCTAATAGTATGTCGACATAATTGTGAAAGCTTAATAATATTTTATTTGTTTACCTTAAGATATTTCAAGTGATGCTATTTCCAGAAGAAATTAAAAATTGTAAGCATTAGGCATCTCAAGGGTTACAATTTGTTATAGCCTGACCAGGAACATAAAAACCCTGGCATAGAGGCGCGTCAATTGCATTTGATAGTGCAACACTGAGTACAGTCGTACCTGTGTTAAATCAATAGGTTAAAACTTTATGTATCAGGATTTAGGATTACGGGCTAATTTTATATTTTCATAAATTAACAAAAAAAAATTATTATAGGTAACCTGGTTTAAATAAATTAAATGAAACCATCAATCGAGCTAGTAGGATTTATTTTATTATTCATCAATAATCAAATTCAGAACTTGAATATTCAACTGCAATGTCTGCTCATGAACGCTTGAAACTCGGTACTTCTTTCCCAATTCCATAAAATTCAACACTTAGAAAGTGACAAAAAAAATTAAAATAGGTAGTTGAAACAAACCACAGCTAATTTTCATAGTGGACTGTACTATACGATAAACATGTCAGTCAATTTGACAACCTTTGTCGGAAACATTATTCAATGAAAATATTGTACGAACCCTTAGTATTTCTCTTCGACAAATACTTTAACACATTGTGAACCACTTTTCTTTCACGACTATAAAAAGATTTTAGCAATTTAATTCACAAAATTAATTGCGCACATTTAAAATAAAGTTTGTTTACACTTTGATAATAGACTGACATGCAAGGTGACATGTCAATGAAGTTTTCAGTTACTGTTGCGATTAAAAGAAATTAGTACCATTAGTTTTCCGCAACATGGTGAGGGTTTTTATGTTCCTGGTCAGGCTATACTTCTCTACATCAAGATGTCAAATAGTATGCAAATATTTTGCAAATTAAAATTCAGACACCAATAATAAAATTGTGTCCATTAAAAATAGTAAGTTTAATCAACGCTTAAACATTTATTTTTGTAGGTAATTCATTTTGTATCTACAACTTTTCAACAAAATTGGCAAAACAAATCAAACATTAAAACTGAAAAAATAAGTATATTTTTTACTTAAAAAAAAAATGGAACCGTGCCCATTTTACTGCATTACAAAATTGCTTGGTTTTTACTGTAAGTACTATACATAATTTAAGTTTATAATAAACTTGCTACTTCTTATTACATACAACTTATTACCTACTTGCTAACGAAAAATTACATAAAATAACATTATTTTTACGAAAACTTAAAATCCGAAATTTTTGTCCCTGCCGCTAAGCAAACATTTTCTAACGAAAATGGTCCATCTGAAAAAAAAAATATTATGTAAGCCTCATAAAAACCCTTATTTATTTTAATGTACTAAGACAAAAGATCCAATAAGCCAATATAATACCTATTTCAAACCAAGTTGTAGTTGAGATTCCAGCATCGGATCTTGCTGATGTCATTGCTGCTCTTATAGCCAAAGGTACTGATACTGACACACACATCGGCGGTTCTCCAACAGCTGTAGATTTAAACCAAAAATCAGAAAAAGATCATAATTATAATTTGAAAACACGCAAACAGTAAGTACACTTCAGGCTTTGCCACACTGGATGTGTTCTGCGGGCAGTGGTCAGGTCAAAGTGAACGCGCCCGCATCATACAGGGTAGGTATCCCAAATTAGCTCGTCACACTGACACTGGAGGTAGCTGAGTCTAAGACGCATCGAATAAGCTTAATCTGTCCATAGAAAAGTTTTTTAAGTTTTAAGATAATATGACCAATTTTATTTATTCATTTCCATAGAAAAGTTTGTTAATTTTTTAAATATGATAATATGACTCATATTAGTTATTTTTAAAAATTGACTTAATATACTTGTTAGATGCGTCTTAAGCTCATTTACCTCTGGTGTCACTGTGATGTGCAAATTTCGGGACATCCTGTACATTGTAGGTCTCGATACATTTTATAGCCTGACCAGGAACATAAAAACCCTCGCCATGTTGCGGAAATCTAATGGTACTAATTTCTTTCAATGGCAACAATAACTAAAAACTTCATTGACATGTCACCTTGCATGTCAGTCTATTGCTGTCAAAGTGTAAACAAACTTTATTTTAAATGTGCGCAATTGATTTTGTGAATAAAATTGCTAAAATCTTTTTATAGTCGTGAAAGAAAAGTGGTTCACAATGTGATAAAGTATTTGTCGAAGAGAAATACCAAGGGTTCGGACAATATTTTCATTGAATAATGTTTCCAACAAAGGTTGTCAAATTGACTGACATGTTTATCGTATAGTACAGTCCACTATGAAAATTAGCTGTGTTGTTTGTTTGTTTGTTTCAACTACCTATTTTAAAGTTTTTTGTCACTTTCTAAGTGTTGAATTTTATGGAATTGGGAAAGAAGTACCGAGTTTGAAGCGTTCATGAGCAGACATTGCAGTTGAATATTCAAGTTCTGAATTTGATTATTGATGAATAATAAAATAAATCCTACTAGCTCGATTGATGGTTTCATTTAATTTATTTAAACCAGGTTACCTACAATAATATGTTTTTGTTAATTTATGAAAATATTAAATTAGCCCGTAATCCTGAATCCTGATACATAAAGTTAGCCTATTAATTTAACACAGGTACGACTGTACTCAGTGTTGCACTATCAAATGCAATTGATGCGCCTCTATGCCAGGGTTTTTATGTTCCTGGTCAGGCTATATTATGTATTATACATTTTTATTAGATATTATAGCAGTCACGTATAAAGATACATGAATGCTGCCCGTAGAACGCACCCAGTGTGACAAACCCCTTCATTAAATAAACGCTACCTTTCGATCCGAAAATAATTGTTTCGCCATAAGAGTTCTTTCTGAAGTAAACCCTAAAGTCTTGCGGTATATCTCTGGCTTGCGGTACGTGATAGTTCCAAGTTCGGTCAGTTAATATTTCTCCAGTATCTGAATTGTATTCTAATTTTTCCGTGACCCAATATCCTAGACCCATGATAAAAGCACCCTCTATCTGCAAAAATATAATAATATTATATGATTGCAATTTAAATTATTAATGAAAGAAAGAAAAGAGTAATTACAGCTGTAAGACTATTTACTGAATGTGTTTGGCTTTTGCTTTGTGTTTATATGATATTTCTATTGACAAAGCCATATGTTGTTCTAACAGTTGGCGACATATTCAGTCATCAAGCGATTTCACTAACAAAGTGAATACTCTGACACGTTGACGACTGTTTAATAAATAGGTACCTACTTACTTGACCAATATCAATTTCAGGACTAACACTGTGGCCAACATCTTGTACAACATCCACTCGTAAAATTTCTCTTTCTCCTGTTAGTATATCCACTTCAACTTCCGCTAAACCAATCGCAAATATATTATATTCCAATTCGCTTTCAGAACCAGCAAATCCTTGTACTTGCAAGTTGACGTTCGAATCAAATGCTTTTTGAATGAGTTCTGCCCAAGTATAACCTGTTTCCATTTGCTCCCGAATTGGCTTCAATCTTTCTAATAATTCCAAACAACATTTACGAACACCAATAATTGCATATTGAGTAGTCAAGCTTCCGCCAGAAACTGACACATTTGGGGATATTGTGGTGCTATTTGGTTTAACTTGTATTTTGTCTAGTGGAAGATTTAAAAGATATGCACATACTTGTACAGCTTTAGTATTTATACCTTGACCCATTTCTATACCACCATGTGATATGATAACAGTGCCATCACCATGAAAAACTGATAATAATACATTAAAGTATCGAGGATTAGTTTGAACCCATTTTAAAAGGGAAGCTCGTAGACCCCTTTTCTTCCATCTATTCTCTGTATTAAATTTTTGTGTGGCTATTTGTCTTGTACTGTATTCGGCACGATCTTTTATAATGCTAAGTACATCCAATATGCCGGTAGAAGCCGATTCGTCCAAATTTAATAATCGGACTTCAAGTGGATCCAAGGACATTTCATATGATAAATGATCCATTATAACTTCCACTGTTGACACAGCTTCCAAATGACCTGTTAATGATTTTATTATTGTCAAACAATTGGTATTGTAACCAGATAATTATTATTTATCAGAAAAAAATCATATCCAAATAGGATAGCTAAATAATTACCTGGTGCTCTGAACCAAGAGTTTTTTGCAGTATCGGTAAGAGTATCGAAATTTCTGTATTTCCATCGTGACGGATTATAACAATTATTATATGAGCCTATAGCTAAGAAAGTTAAATTTTCATTAACCATAAATCCATGGTCTTCGAACGTATCTAAATTCATGTACTGAATTATTCCTTGGGAGTTAACCGCTACCTGCAAAAAGTATAAAGAACTTATTAACATTTTCGAAAGGTCTAAGAAAATAGTGCATAAAAAGATACTAATACTACGGTATCAGCACATTTTATTGCAAAATAAAAATAATTATTCAACTCACTTCGTAATCAGATGAACAAGGGAACCTTTTGCCTAAGGCTCTGGTTATCGAGGTTAAGGGCATAATGAGCCGACAGGGTCGGTTCAACTTATACGAAACGAGACTGCAAGCGACCGCAGAGAGTGTGTTTCGAGATATTTTCAATCCAAAAGAACCTCCTAATCGTCGTACATGAACATCAACCCTAGAATTATGATTTACTGTTGTTTATTAAACATGAATATTATAATAACTACATTTAATTAACAGATTTTTCTATTTATATTCCCATACCTGTTTTGTTCAATAGCTAAAGCTCTTGCTATCATTGACTGAGGTGCGTCCATCCACTGGGTTGTAGTATGAACTTCTAAGCCTTCTTCAGTTGGTTTTGTTATACAAACAATTGTCTCCATTGTTATATGAGCCTGTCCTCGGACTGTATAGTTAGCTTTAATGACTTTATCGACGTCGTTTCCTGTTTCCGTTGCATCAATTTCTTGCTTTAAACTGACTCTGCTGGAATCGTTTTTAGCAATTTTAACGTCAATAATCGGCTTTTCAACATTTTTGTATGTAACATCGACCATTTTAGCAATTCTATTAGCTATATGTTTCTTCTCAGCAGCAATCACACCAATGGGCTGGTTGAAGTATTTTATTTGCCCACTCGAAAACACTTCTTCGTTTGTTAAAGCAAAAGGATCTTCAGCGGGTGTAAATGAATTCAGTCCCGGTATATCTTTGGCAGAGTAGAATGCGATTGCTCCTGCTTGTTTCTAATAAACATAGAACGTTTTATTCAAACCTAACGATATGATTATCTATAAAATAAATAGCATAAATAGTATTTACTCTTTAAATAATACAAATAGTCTTACCAGAGCAAGACTTGGATCTATAGATACAATTTCACCAGTTGCTACTGTACTTAGTACGAGTGCTGCGTAGACCTCATGAGGATAGGTGGCGTGATCTTCTGTATATAAAGCCTCACCTGCACATTGAATCTGTAAAATTCAACACATTGTAGCCGTTTCAACATTAATTTTGTCTTTAAAACATCGACATTAATTATTATATTTAATTTTTAATTGAAAGTGAAGTCTTAAAACAATTTTATTAAAATATACCAACCAATGCCTCAATTTTTGGTATAGGCTGAGTAAGTGGGTACGTTGACGGATCAGTGTCGAATAGCTGTCGTGCCTGTGACACTGGCCTGGATTCAATCAGTTTTGATGCTCCTGATTGAAACCTGGGATTGATCAAGCTTGCAGGGCATAATGATAATAAACTCTGAAAACATTTTAAAGAAACTGTAAAATATAACACTGATAATGTTTAACAAACTAAATTACCGGAACGTAAACAGAACATAAAAAACAGGCGAGGTAAGAAATTGAAAAAAACATCCTCACCAAACGTTACGGTAAAAATTCAACCCTAATTCTTAATCACAAGTTAAACATAAAATATTTAGTACCTTGTAGAACAAAGCAAGAGCCAACTGCTTTCGGTATGCCACTGAAGGTTCACCAGGAATCGCTTCCACCTTGAGCTCTGTTTCCAACATTTTTAATGCGGACTGTAACGTATCATTTGTAAATAATTCCTTCTTGAATAAAATCAATTCTGTAGATTTAGCTCTCGTGAAACTAGGTGAGAGTCCACCGTAGACGATTCTTGATTCTAACACTTTGTTGTTAGAGGCTTGGTATTTATAAAGGAATCCAGCATTCACTACTGCATGCGCATTTTGAGCACGTGGCATTATCTACAAGATATACAAAATTAAATATGAATTAATGTCTTATCTGATTCCTTGAAGCAACTCTTAATAAGGATGTAAAATCATACAAAATTGAAATAAATATATCAGTTAATACGTTGATTATAGTAATGAAAATAATTTGAAGTTAAACGTAGGTGTTTCTGTAGAAGCTTCTAGGAGAGATAATCATTTTGACAGCTTATAAAGTGTATCTCATTTGACTGGCGGTGTTCAACCCTCGTATACCTTACCTTATATGTTACGACATTATACATTTCGTCATTGAACGGAGGAAAAAGTACATTTAAAATTACTTTTCCTTTCATGTCTGTATTTAGAAATTGCTGCATGGTCATTATTTTTGTTACTTTTGGAGAACACACTGAAATTGAAAATGACATCATGAATACTGTGAAAAATACACGGTGCTACTTTGCATCCTTGCCTTATTCACAGAGATAAAAGTAGCGAACAATACCTATTATTTTAGACAAACAAGAGACTCGCATAAAAAAAACACTAAGTTTTTAGTAAATTTGGTTTTGCTGTACAAATTGGAATAAACTATTTTTTTCTCGCACGTTCAACAGACGCAATTGGAATAAACCTAGTGAGCGTCAGTTTTTACAAAAGTGTAATAATGCAAAGTAACATCGTGTATATTGCCTCTATGTTGGTAAATCATTTTTAAATAAATTTCAAGACAGAAGAATCCAATTATTCTTACCTATTGTTACTTGCGCACCAACTGTTTCAAGTAATAGGTAAATATCTGACGGAAAATCATTGTGCTGATGTTTAATCATCAAATTGCCTCCAATAGTACCCAACTAGAAACAAAATGTAAATGAATATTTTAATAACTTTATCAATAGAATGACCTTCAAAGAAAAATGTAATTTGCTACAACCATTCATACTACCACTTAAAAAAGTGTTTATATAAACTTAATAATTGTTGTTGCATTGTAACTTTGTTCATAATTGTAATTTTTAAGTGTACATGTTGTAATGTAACAATGTTGGTAGACCTAATAAATAAATAAATAAATAAATAAACTTACATTTCGCACTGGAATATGTGCCACCAAATCCAGATGATCACGCAGAACTTTAAAATATTTAAAATAATTTTGTTGTGAAAGTTCGTCAAATATTTTTAGCAATGCTGTAAGAGTTGTGCCCGAACCACAAACTAAATTTTGATCTATTTCATATGTTTTTAGTTCTTGCACGTCACTTATATCGATAATCATATTTGGATATTCTTCTATAGGGTACGCACCTGAAAATTCAATAATAATAATATTGTTCTCAAATTAATAATTATCAAATGTTTGAATTATTATTTAAAGACTTTATTTTCATTGTCTTACCCTTTGCCGTATTTCCAGCCACGAGCATATAAGAATCTGTTCCTTTTGTTTTAAAAATATGAAAAATATCGTTAACATTTTGTACTCTGTACCAAGATTTGCCATCCTCCAAATGTATTTCTTGTATATTCAATTCATCTACATCATTGTGTGATACAACACACCAATCATCATCATGGCATTTATGTTTACAAATGATCCCTTTCTTCGTGCATATGTGCAGATCTTCTATATCATTAATATCTTGTGGTGCTGGAGCATCTTTAGCAAATGTTTTAAAAGCCTCAAGAATGGGCCGGTATCCAGTGCATCTACATATATTACTGCCTAAAGACTTTTCTATTTCAAGCATTGTTATATCCGGCTTACTTTCCAAGAGGCTAGAAGAAATTACATTAATGTGGTTTTAGTTTGTTTCAAGAATAAGGTTAATGAAATTTATTTAAATCTTCGTCTTTCAATCGAAATACGTCTAATGCTGGATAAATGCTGCCTTGCACTCCCCCTGACCCATTTACAACTACTTCGCTAGCTATTATCTTATTTTATTGTCTATTTACGTACTTACCTATACATAGACATAACCCATCCTGGAGAGCAATGCCCACACTGTGTGCCATTATGTTTCGCCAGAACCTTCTGAATTGGATGGTACCCATTCAGCCTGTTTCCCAACTTTTCTATGGTTGTTATGTCCCAGTTCTGGCATGAAAGTATAGACACCATGCACTGTAAAATTAAGATTCGTTATTACATATCAGTGTCATTATCTGAGTTATCAGTAGATATGTAAGGTGTAATAAAAACTCACTAGTTTCTATTTCACTAATCATAGCATATTGCTCGGAAGACCATGTAGCCCTTTGTATACCTTGTTAAAGTAACCTACTTGTGGTTCTCAATAATTCCAGATTAGATCATAAATCGTTTTGTTCATGTCATACTAGACTGACAGATTCGGGATTCGATCCCACACCTGTATGATTCCGGTACACGAACTGCCCGGTTTCAGAGAGCCTCCAAATAAATAGGTTTTATTGAACATTTACAAAAAATTACAGTCTATATGAACAACAAAAAAAAAATAGGTACAGAATTCACAGCCTCCGGTGTGCAGCCTTCGCCTTTGACGACGCTGACGATGCAAGCTCCGCAGCCAGCCTCTAGACACATGTACTTAGTTCCGCGAAGACCCGCTCTGTTCCGCAGGAACTCGACCAACGTCATTTGGGAGTCCACATCGCAACCCACTGTGAAAAACAAATGACAGTCTTCTATAAACCATCTTCTGCATCTCGTCCCAAAACGCTGGTTTCACTGTTTTCCGCTGGTTGGACCGCTTGGTATTCATTCATACATAATGCTGTTAAATTCGAAGTTAGAAACCTATAATACAACGCATAATATGTACTTAAGATTCATGTTTACTTTGGAAAATAAACAATATTGAACGTGCACCTGGCAGATAACTGAATTTCAGCTCGTAATTTTTAAATGTACCTATGTAAATTAAAATGAGTTGGCAACTTAAATACATAGAATGGCAAGGTTAATTATAATTGTTTTTGCTAAAAGAAGCTTAGTTTTATCAGCGCCGAGAGATTGTATGTAAAGTGTTTGAAATTACTTAACTCTTTCATACTTTCGTCTTTATCATCTGGTATAAGCTATATTATGTAATTGTTTTTCTGAATAAAATAAAATTTAAAAAACTGTAATCAGTCAGGTAGATAAACATGAAAGTTTTTTTTTCAGGATTTTTTCCTTGCGAATGTTAACGTGTCTCCATGTAGCTTATCACATCAAGCTATAACATTTTGTTGCAAAATAGCCCATAAAAAACTACGTATATAATATGCTACAATGAAAGTAAATATTTTTTTACACATCAACCAAATAAAATAGTGAAAAATAAAATTTTACTACCTATCTATTAAGACCGCCAAATTATTATGTCATTTCTTTTGTGTATTTTTTCTTATCTTGTCTTGTGTATTCTATTTATCTACTTACAGAAGACCCCACGTCGAGCTAAGCTCTATGGCATCAGTGTTATCTAGTATATCTATAAAAGCGAACGGTCACTAACTGACTGACTGACCGACTTACTCACTTGTCACGAATACTCAGAAACTACAAATCACTCAGGAGTCTCAAATTTTTCATTGGGATTCCTTTCAGAACACTAATGCCCGATTTCACCATCAATCCCAAAATTTTAAGTGACCCCTATTTTAACACTTAACAGGTATTTGGTTTTCAAATGGGTCACTTTGATTGTGAAAACGGGCATAATTTAAGACTCTCACTAAGACGGGAATTTGCAAAATTCAACCTCTAATTGGGTAAAAATGGGGTCTACGCGTACGAAGTCGCGGGCGGCCGCTAGTTTATTTATTTAATTGATCACCAACAAGATTACATTGCAGCGTTCACAAAAATATGTTTAAAATACACTGGTCATCACAATCGACCTCCCGCGACAAGCACTTTCAAACTTATGCATCCCTACTTCCCACTAATATTGGCACCATTTAAAAGCCTAGTTCTAAACTTCATTTCATTAAAGGAAAGGTTTTTACCCCAAAAATGTGTCTGTAGAAGAATCCAGAGTCACTTCTTCAAAAAATAGGTAGTTACGCTTGAGCCAACTTTTATGCCTATAAAACTGTTAAGTTGGGATTAATCGCTATCCATCTGTTAAAGAGGACACGTGAGATCATTATTTGGTTTTATAACCATAAAGATTGGTTTAATTGATCCCAGAGGTGAGCCCAAAGTGAGGTCGTTTTTCAAGTCACATTTATTGTATAATTATGTTAATCGTTTAGAAATTAAATGCGTTTTTCTTTAAGGATATTTATTGGGCTTTCAAATAACACCAACATTGTTGGGGCACCATGATTGTGTCAGTAGAAACGAGTTTTCCTGTAAAATGTAGGTGAGCCGATTTTTGTGATGACCAGTGTATTATGAGATATTTTTGCAACACAAACGCATAATGTATTGTCATCTGTAAAATGTATCATAAAGTCAGTACATACCAGAATACGGCTTGCCATTTATCCTAAATTGTACTTTTTCCATGTCTTATTCGGACCAGTCGATAACAGTTACTGGCAAGAAACAGTTTACGAGATCTATTTATTATGAAAAAAATCCGCCCAGTGCAAGATACGTTCAGATGTAGTGCAACATTAGCACAATATGATACGAAGATATTAACATATTTTTTATTCTTGTTTGAAACAAAACAGAAAGTGTCTTTTAGCGCTCCTGCACACGACGCCGTCACCGCGCCGTCGCCGCGCCCCTACACTGTTCATACGCGCCGAGTAAAACCGCCGCCGCGCCGCCACTGCGCCGCCGTCAAAGCATAATTTCGCCAGCAGCGCGGCGGCGGCACGGCGGTGGCGCGGCAGCGGTCTTCACGCGGCGCGTATAAACAGTGCAAAAGCGCGGCGGCGGATATTAGAGCTTCATAGACTTAGCGTCGCTCAAAAATCAAGTGCCTAATTTTGAAAAAATAAATACGCCAATGTGTTCCTTTACCAAAAAGGAATATTTTATGTTATGTAACGTTTCTTGATAAAGTTATTATTTAATAAGTTATTGACAATTTCCTTTTTTTTTTGTATGGAGCTCAACATTTATTTTTATTTTATTCGTTATTCTTAAGCTTTCTTAAGAAATTGACTTTTGTATTATGTAATGCAACATATAAGCTATGTTATCACCAAGTGTCGCATTTCGGAAATCTTCGGAACATTGTCATTTTGGACTTTAAAATAAAAAAAAATAAAAAATTTAAATCACTGCCAAATTTTGTAAAAATAACTACGCCAATGTGTTCCTTTGCCAAAAAGGAATATTTTATGTTATGTAACTTTTCTTGATTAAGTTATTATTTAATAAGTTATTGACAATAATTACTTTTTTTTTGTATGGAGCTCAACATTTATTTTTATTTTATTCGTTATTCTTAAGCTTTCTTAAGAAATTGACTTTTGTATTATGTAATGCAACATATAAGCTATGTTATCACCAAGTGTCGCATTTCGGAAATCTTCGGAACATTGTCATTTTGGACTTTAAAATAAAAAAAAATAAAAAATTTAAATCACTGCCAAATTTTGTAAAAATAACTACGCCAATGTGTTCCTTTGCCAAAAAGGAATATTTTATGTTATGTAACTTTTCTTGATTAAGTTATTATTTAATAAGTTATTGACAATAATTACTTTTTTTTTGTATGGAGCTCAACATTTATTTTTATTTTATTCGTTATTCTTAAGCTTTCTTAAGAAATTGACTTTTGTATTATGTAATGCAACATATAAGCTATGTTATCACCAAGTGTCGCATTTCGGAAATCTTCGGAACATTGTCATTTTGGACTTTAAAATAAAAAAAAATAAAAAATTTAAATCACTGCCAAATTTTGTAAAAATAACTACGCCAATGTGTTCCTTTGCCAAAAAGGAATATTTTATGTTATGTAACTTTTCTTGATTAAGTTATTATTTAATAAGTTATTGACAATAATTACTTTTTTTTTGTATGGAGCTCAACATTTATTTTTATTTTATTCGTTATTCTTAAGCTTTCTTAAGAAATTGACTTTTGTATTATGTAATGCAACATATAAGCTATGTTATCACCAAGTGTCGCATTTCGGAAATCTTCGGAACATTGTCATTTTGGACTTTAAAATAAAAAAAAATAAAAAATTTAAATAAAAAAAAAGTAATTATTGTCAATAACTTATTAAATAATAACTTTATCAAGAAAAGTTTCATAACATAAAATATTTCTTTTTGGCAAAGGAACACATTGGCGTAGTTATTTTTACAAAATTTGGCAGTGATTTAAATTTTTTATTTTTATTTATTTTAAAGTCCAAAATGACAATGTTCCGAAGATTTCCGAAATGCGACACTTGGTGATAACATAGCTTATATGTTGCATTACATAATACAAAAGTCAATTTCTTAAGAAAGCTTGAGAATAACGAATAAAATAAAAATAAATGTTGAGCTCCATACAAAAAAAAAGGAAATTGTCAATAACTTGTTAAATAATAACTTTATCAAGAAACTTTACATAACATAAAATATTCCTTTTTGGTAAAGGAACACATTGGCATATTTATTTTTTCATAATTCGGCACTTGATTTTTGAGCGACCCTAAGTCTATGAAGCTCTAATATCAGCCCACCGTGCGGCGCGGCGGCGGCGTCGTGTCTCGTGTGCAGGAGCGCTAACATACAAATAGAGACATCTATTTGCTGACTGATTTGATACACTATTGCTCTAGCTAGAGGTCGTATTGAATATAATAATATCGTTATAACTTGAGCTTCGCCGTCTACTGCTAAACATGCCTCCCCCAGTGATTTCCAAAATCTAGACACGCAGTAGCGTGTCAAGCCAAGTTCAAATAACTGAACTGGCGAGCAGCACCGAGTGTAATATTACACAATTAAAAATAACTTAATTTAATAGTGGAGAGAAAGTTTAGTAAATAATATAATTCAGAAATTTTTGGATATTTTTTTAATCTGATATCACTCAAAATACTTTCTAAGATTAAGATAATAACGGTTTAACAAGTCATAAACTATAAACAAAAACCTACTCGATAATTGTATTTCCATAGATATAAGAATACATTTAATATGGATTATAAAGGGAAATCCCTGCAATACCCATCCCTAATTACAAACAGTTTTAATAAAAAAAACACACAGTATCAATTCTATTTATTTAAATGCCTTAATTTCCTTGCTGATTACATGCACGTATTTGATTATTTACTTAGGTAACTACATTGAATAAGACAGTGCCATTTTAGGGTTCCGTAGTTCTTACAAGGAACCCCTATAGTTACGTCATGTCATAAGTCCGTGGTTTTGCTTGGAGACTGTTATCGTGTGGTTTTTATGAACTTTTACGGAAAAATATAGATCAGTTTTAAGAGTGATTCGTTCGACTTATGTATTAACATAACTAATAAAAATCTTTAGAAGAAACATTTAAAGTTGTGAACATAAACTTAATTAATGACGAGTATAATACAGGGTGATTGGGATAGGTACTCAAGTTATTCCTTAAAAGGGGTTATATTAGAGGTCAATAATAATAAATTAAGTTAGAAAATAAAGACGCCCTTTTAATATATTCTGAGGTAACGACAGGCAACTACGGAACCCTACAATGTGCGTGACATGACCCGCATTTGGCCGGTTTTTTATGTATAATTATGGACGATCAAAAATGGAAGTGTTAAATTATTGATACTTCCGCTAACAATCCCACATAAATATAGGTCTCGGTTGATTAAATACAACATAGTTGAAGTATTATAAATATTTATATTATCTATTAACCGCTTGAGTCCCAGGCGGCATTCATTAATGTCATAACAATTGATTATCTATGTGTCTAGATTCGCGGAGCTTGAAGGATTAAGGTACACAAACTCTTAAAATTAATGAAAATAAGGATGTAATTAGTTACGTAAACTTAAAATTCTCAAATTTTGTTTCTGAATACATGCATATTTTGTCCAATGTCCAAGATCCATCTGAAAAAGAAAATAAAACATTCACTGGTTGGGTTTTATTGGAGGCCAAGCTTTAGATCCTAGCTATACAGGAGTTGCAGTGGTGGGAAAGTATAAGTATAATTAAGTAGATAGGTCCTGATTATTTTCTCTCCGCTCCTAGAGTGACTTGGCATAATGTAAGTTAAACATGGCATTTCATACAATTTGACAATCGTCTCCTCGCGTGTTAAGCGGGCTACCTTTCTTTAGAATAGGAAATAGAAAGTATTTATTTGTCTCAAAATGACCACACTACGTCATAATAAACAACGTCGGGAGGGTAAATAGGTACAGGGTGTGGTTTTGTAAAACAACGCCCAGTCTCAGGGGTGGTAGTATACACAACACTGATGCCAAAAAAATATGTTTTTTTTTTATTTTCATATTCTTTTATATTTTCATTTCATATTCTATTATTTTCTCATTGATTTTATATTTTCATTTAAAAAATCCATGAAAGGCCCCTGCTCTCCCGGGGCGGCGGCCACATGTGCCCTATGGCGTAGCGAGGTAAGCGGGAGTGGTGCGGGCGGTAACAAGCGCATTCTCGAAAGTTTTAGGAGACGTTTGAACAAGGTTTTTTACTAAGGAAGTAATAGTTATAATTTTATTTTTCTTGTAATTACTTTTATGTGTACTATCACCCCTGAGATGGGCGTTGTTTTACAAAACCACACCATGTATATTATGTTTGCCTTTATAAGTGTTTTGTTGCAAAAATCACATAACAGTTATAACTACATAATATATCATTGATAAATTGTATGGAACGCCACGGCGCCGCGCCGTCTCTACACTGTTGCCGGTCGCCAAAGAATTGCATTTATACAATTTAATTATTATTCGTTTTATCTGTTGCATGAGTAATTAATTTGATTTAAAAGTCGTTCAAATATGCCAGTTTTGATGTTTTAGTATAAATGATGTAATTGAAACATTGAACAGTATCAAAGTGGTAATGATCTTACCAATTTCGAAGTATTGAGTCTTGGGTATTTTCATATCGTAACGAGCTGAGGTAATGGCCTCTCTTAGAGCATACGTTATTACGTTTGCCAGACACGCCGGTGGTTCGCCAACAGCTGCAAATAAAATAAATAGGTATAATATGTTAAGTACAGACTACGTATACACTGTGTAATTGTCATAGCACCAATAATTTCGCAACAAAGTTATTTTAAAAGAGACCCGAAACTTTAAATTGAATATGTAGTTACAATCCAGATAGTTAAACCACAAGGCAAAATCAAAGATAAAAAAGACCTCTCAAGAAAAAAGCAGTGGTCAGGACCTACGTACATATTGCATAAAACTCTTAGGCTGGGGTGCACCATCTTACGTTAACTTAGACAAACGTCAAAAATCTGTCAAACTCCATACAAAACAGTTCATTAAAGTTACGGTCAAAGTTAGGTGGTGCAACTCAGCCTTACATAGATAAATTAAAGCGAATAAAAAATCTAAACTTAAGACTGCGATAGGTTATGAGTTAATAATTAGAATGTATCAATTTACATTTGGTTCCCAGGATGGTGTCGTTGCTGTAAGAATTTTTCCTCAAGTATACCCTAAAATCACGAGGTATGTCTTTCGCCTGTGGCACGTGATAGTTCCAAGTACGGTTGGTCAGAATTTCACCCGTCGTCAGATCTCTTACCACGTTCTCAGAAGTCCAATATCCCAAGGCCATTACGAACGAGCCTTCAATCTAAAAATGAATGTTATTAATCTCATTATCAATTTCCCCTTATTGATGGCTTTGCATCTAGCGGCTCCAAAAATAGATAATTAATAAATCAATAAATAAACTTTATCATAATTATTTTACTTCTTACATAACATCACAATGAATTTTACTAATTTTATCGATGGATTCACATAAAAAAAGCTTCAATGTTTACCTGACCAACATCTACTTCAGGGTTGACGGTCCTTCCTACATCTTCCAACAAATCTACCCTCAGCACTTCATGCTCACCAGTCAGTATATCAACTTCAACTTCAGCGAAGCATACGCCGTATATGTTATAATTCTGAGCGTCTGAAGAATTCACGAAACCATGGCTTTGAAGATCAATACCCTGATTATAAGCAGCAGTAATTATTTCTTCCCATGTCGCGTTAGGTGTTGCTTCTTTCACTGGCGCCAACCTAGCATTTAATTCTTCACATGCTCTTTGTACCCCGATTCCAACATTTTGAGATGCAAGGCTGCCACCACTGATGAATGCATTAGGTCCAATGATAGTATTATTGCCTTTAATTTTAATTTTTTCAACGGGTATTTTGAGGAAATATGCTGCAATCTGGATTGCTTTAGTGTTTATTCCTTGACCCATTTCTATTCCAGAATGGGTGATGGCAACAGTGCCATCACCATGGTACACTGATAAATTCACGTCCAGGATCAAGCCTCCTACTGGAGTCCATCTCATGAAAGCAACCCTTAAGCCTCGTTTCTTCCATCTGTTTTCAGTATTGAATTTCTGTACTGCAGCTCTTCTTTCCGTCAAGTCAGATTTGGATTTTAATGTCTGATACATTTCTATTATATCGTTATGTGTTGTTGTATCTACATTTGCAATACGCACTTCAGCAGGGTCAAGATCTAGTTCGTAGGAAATGCGTTCAAGTATATTTTCAGCCATAGCAACGGCTTCTAATGTTCCTAGAAATGAATACCATAAAATATTGAAATAATGTAAATATGTTTAAAAAAAATATATATGTAAAATCTAAAAGTACCTGGCGCTCTACACCATGTGTTTTTATGGGTGTCAGTCAGAACGTTGTATCCTTTGAAGGTCCATCGGGAACTGTCGTAAAGATTGTAGTATAAATCAGTCATAAGCAAATAGAAAGTTTCATTAATCTTGTATCCCTGATCTGAATAAAATTTGTAATCCACGTGTTGAATGACACCAGACTTGTTCACACTCACCTGTAAAATATTTTTTGAATTCCAATAATTGTGTTTAGGTAGTATCCTAATAATTGTTAATTCCCGGATATTTTATCTAACATATTTGTGCTAAGTTTGTACTCTATATTATTATGAATGCTAGAAGCCGATAGTGAAAATTCTCTACCATCGTTTCTAGGAAAAATGTTACATAAAATTGATCACTGTGAAAATACAATAGCAGTTAACTACTTAGTAAGACAAATTGAGTGGAACAAAAATTTGTGTCTATGTACTTTAAAACGGCTCCCCTTTATCTGGCAGATTATCTTGTTACGCAGGAATTCATTTGGCATAACCACGGTAATTAACTCACACACCACAATAATTATGGTGTGTTAGTTAATTACATTTGGCACCATTGAATGGTACCTATTCCAATGGTGGAATATGGCTAACATTTGGAGTGCCTACCCAACTTTTGTAAGTCCTATTTTACCAATCTAAATAAGATAACTCAAAGGTGACTGACTGACTGTCTAGTGATCTATCAACGCACAGCTCAAACCACTGGACAGATCAGGCTGAAATTTGGCATGCAGGTAGATGTTATCACGCTGGCATCCGCTAAGAATTTACGAAACTCCACCCCTAAGGGGGTAAAACAATTACCTCGAAGTCAGTGGAACAAGGTAATCTTTTTCCCACTGCTCTCATATTTGTGGTGAGCGCCTGTATGAATCTTACGGGACGGTTGAGTTTTACCGCGACGAGACTGCTTGCTATTGCGAGTTGGGTGGAGCGCGATATCTTTATACCATACGCACCACCCAGCCTTCGGACGTAAACATCTATGCTGAAAATTTTAATACGATATTTGAGATAATATGGAAAGATGTACTGCTACCGTAAAAACTTAACTTTTTCCTTATACTGACTCTTTTCTGCTAAAAATCCCATAATTATTCATTTTCAGTAACCTCCGGAAGTGCCAGTAATAGAAGTCTTAAATTCTTTGCTATTGTTGTGGCTTCCTACATTTTGGTTGGAAACGTAGCGTGGGCAGGCCTCCCACTATGTGGACCGACGATCTGGTGAAGGTCGTGGAAGGTGCCTGGATGCGAGCGGCGCAGGACCGGTCTTGGTGGAAATCCTTGGGGGAGGCCTTTCTCCAGCAGTGGACGCCTTTCGGCTGAAACGCACGAAAATTTTGGGTTCCTAATGGATTATTTCCGTTATAGTTATTATTATTACCAACCTGTTTGAATCTAAGTTCAACGCTCGCGATATCATGATTTGCGTTCCGTCCATCCACTGAGTAGCACTGTGAACTTCAACACCATCCTCTACTGGTCGAGTCACGCAGACCAGTGTCTCCATTGTGAAATGGTACTGAGAATAAATCGTGTTCTCCCCTTTGAACGTCTTAGCGATATCAGTGCCAGTATTCGTTGCTTCATTTGAGGCAAACTGCGTCAACCGATCCGGATCTTTCTTTGCTTCTTTTACATCAAGTATTGACTTCTTCACATTTTTATAAGTAGCATGAACCATCTTAGCAGCTCTATCAGCTAAATGTCTGCTATCAGCTACTATTATCCCTATAGGTTGGTTGTAATACTGAATAGCGCCGCTACATAACACTTCTTCGTTGGAGGAGTAAAGGACACTGTCGGCTGGTGTAAAAGAATTCAATCCTGGGATATCTTTAGCTGAATAAAACGCTATTACTCCTGGCTCACTCTGCAAATTTAAATCAAATCGTATAGTCATATCATTTGATATGATTTAAAGTTTTAAACATTACATATCTATTAAAGCCTTACCAAAGCCCTTGAAGGATCTATGTTAATAATAGTTCCAGAACCCTCTGTAGAGAGTACAAATGAGGCAAACACCTCATGTGGGAATGCAGGCAAATCCTCCGTATATGGTGCTTCGCCTGCGCATTGAATCTGTAAGATAACATTTTTAGCTTTATGATGTTGTAAAACTAGAATTAGTTCTCAAATTCTATTTTGATTTTCATTTAACTCAAAATTACAGATATTGAAGCCTCCTTCAGATTAGTTACTTCAGGGTGTGTTTCGTTTCAACTAAACGACGTCTACTGCTGAACAAAAGCACTAAGGAACTCCACAAAAACCGGTCCTACACACCGCCCACATTCAGGAGCTTCTCGCAACATTTACCAGATCGTCAGCCTACCCAGTACCTCTATTCAATCCAAAAAGCTCTAATAAACGCTAACTGCCTACGCTTCGAAACAAAACGCCAGGATAATTTTGTCGTATGGTGTATTGAAGCTTGAATTTCAATGCACCAAAACCAGTATGAAAAGCAGTCATCTCTTATTTGCTTCCCTTAAAATATTAATATCATTTGATGTTAGATTCAAAGTGTTTGAAGGTAAGCAGATTATGTTTAAAAACTTTCGCTCACACATACCAAAGCTTCTACTTTCTGCAAGGGCTTGGTGAGAGGCCACAGAGACGGGTTGGTGTCAAAGATCTGCCGGCCATCAGAAACTGGTCTCGTTTCGTGTATTTTGGTTGCCCCTGATTTGTAGAGAGGGTTCAGAATCGACTCGGGGCAAAGTGCAAGTAGGCTCTGAAAAAGAACGAACACAGAATGTGCTGGCATTGTAAAAATAATAACAAATTAAATAAAACAGTCAGCGTCAAATTCATACGTTGGCAACACGTGTTTGTCGCAATTGGAATGAGGTTGTGTTGTCAACTTTTGGCCACTTTTGGCTGACTGTACTTATAAAATATGTGAGTTTGTAAACTGTTTGCTCTTTTTTTTTTCTCTTGATAGTTATAATATTTTCACGAACAAATTACGCCTTATAACACTTTAAAAACAGATGGTAAACATTGTTAGTTGCATTCATTAAAAATTACAATTTCATTACAAATTGGATAACATGTTTTATCGTGACTTACCTAAATACCTGTTTTTGTACAAACAGATGAAACAAGTGAATTAACATTTTCTTGATAATAATTATCTGCCTTTTAGGGTTCCATCATAAAACTACAAGGAACCGTGAACGGTACTTGAAAATAAGTAATGTCGTATGTATTTACAATAATTATAATGGCCACCTATTTAGGCTATACCTACTATTAAGATGAAAGGTGTACCTAATGTGTGAAAGACGAGTACGGAACCCTACATCGATTGACCCGACTCCCACATGCCTTTTTATCTGTCATGCTTGCCTTTTCTATCTTACATGTGCTGTGCAACCTGACTTGATAAGAAGCAAAACATTTCGTGCAAAACAAGTTAATGAGTTCATGTTTTTAATATAATTTTTAATGAACTCTCAATTCTACGACGAATATCCGTTATCATAGGAGTTTCATTTACATATTAATAGCCTTTTTTAAGTCAGAAAAGATACTTCCGTATCTTTTACAGAACAAGTATAGGTAATTAGTTCATGTTTGTCATCTATTTTTCTACTGTTATCAAAATAGGTACCTAAAGCCTTTTTTGCGTCAGAAAAATGCATTAATCGTACAAAACAAGACGTATTTTTAAGATAAGGTAATTAGGTCGTGTTTTTCACTTAATTTCTAATTATGATACTATCTATGCGAACTATTTGCGTCAGAAAATGGATTTATCAACAGAAAAGAACATTAGTCCATAATTTTCATCTAATTTTAAGTGCTCAATTCTAATCCTTCTTTAATTTTTCTTGTCATTGTCACCTATACAGCCTTTTTTGCGTCAAAATAAAAAAAAACGCATTAAATTACGCCGTATACCGTGGCATAGCCGTTAAGTTACGCGTACGTTACGTTTTGTGAGTTTGATCTAAAAAAGGTTCATTGAAATACAATAATATATTATATACAAACCTTATAAAACAGCCCCAAAGCCAGCTGTTTCCTATAAGCTGGGCTAGGCTCCGGTGGGTTTTCTACCGCGACCAGTTCATGGGATAAAATGTTCAATGCTGCTTGGAGAGTTTCATTGGTAAAAATCTTTTTTCCAAACAGGTACTTTTCGGTGAGGGTCGCCCTAGTGTATGGAGATTGAAGTCCACTGTAGACTATTCTGCACTGCCTCAGAATGTTGTCTGAAGGTCTGATGCGGTAGAGGAAACCAGCATTAACTATTGCATGGGCGTTTTGAGCTCTGGGCATTATCTGGAAAAATAATAATAGTTATTAGGTACTGACAGCTGTTTGCTACATGCATGATTGATAGAAGATAAATAATATACAGTATATTATGTAGTATTGAGGATGTCACGCACTGTATACATAAACGACGAATATGAAAACATAATATTTATATGTAAGATTTATTCATCTCTAGGATATAAAGCAAAAAATATGTAACTGAAGCTATTGTAACATAACTAGCTACCGTTGAATGTCTTTAACCATACAAATCATACAAAAGGCTTTAGTTAATTAGCACTATAATGCTTTATTTCTCTTTTTACTAAAGAAAGAAGATCTAGAGAAATAAAGTACCTACTGTAATTAATAATAACAATCTCAGTTCAATTTCTAAACGCCATATTTAATATTTTATCGAAGCCTGTTTATTAAATACTTACTTACATCATTACTTATCCAAAATTTACCTCATCTGATCTAATTTCTCGACTTACAATAATTTCATCTTCATGCTAATTAGAATGTCAATATTAATTTAGTAGAGCGTTACCTAAAGATAATTGACGTCAATTAACTGCGAATTCGGTTTAAGTGTGAATAAATTATGTAATTTTGATAATTATTGCCAACTAGCTATCCGCCCGCGGCTTCGCCCGCGTTTAATACTGTCTGTCACAGAAAAAAAATATCGCGCTCGTCCCTGTTTCAAAAACCGGGATAAAAACTCAAACTATGTCTAGGTATACCAAATTAGCCCTGATAGTTATTTTGAAAATATATTTCATGTACAGAATTGACCTCTCTACAGATTTATTATAAGTATAGATATTAGTAGGTACACAAATAGATAGTATAGATTTGGTATATATTCGCTAAAATCAAGTGGCAGTGCTGGGCGGGGCACGGGCCGAAAGATGTATCGTGGGCAGGCCTCCCCTTAGGTGGACCGACGATCTGGTGAAGGTCGCGGGAGGTGCCTGGATGCGGGATTTATCTACGGTCGCGGGAGGTGAAGACAGCGTTATGAAATATTTGACTGCTATTTAAAAATCTGTAATCCGACTGACGTTTTCCAACCATTTAATTAGATTAGCGATTACGCTGGCTGCACAAACTGGAGTCAGGATTTTAAAGGCAAGCGTTCGCGTGGTGACTTGAGGCATCCGGCGGTCCCGAAACGCCAAACGCTTGGAAAATGCTTCAGCAGGAAAAAGTCAGCTACAATTTATTTCTTTATTTATTCTTTAATGCCATATAGTTGGTACATAAGGCGAACTTAATGCCATTGGACATTCTCTGTCAGTTAACCTTTGGGTTTAAAATTTATTAGATGATGTAGATAAATTGAAATTATAGTTTGTGAAGTTCAGACAATATAAACTTGTTCCATCAATGATTGATTCAATGTTAAGCAAATAAATAATTCCTTGCATAATTTTCAATACAGGGACAGGTCAAACGCTTGCATATCGTGAACTCGAGTGTCATTTTACTATAAAAGGAACTTCCAATTAAATGCAACAAAATTGGCAAAACATTCAGATAATTTTATGCCAAATTCCAAACAAACGTTTCAATTAAAATTCATTATGTGTATCATGCATGACAGCCTAAATTTGAAAGCAGGTTTAAGTCATTATCTAAGTGTGTACATACATTATCATTATTAATGTATACGCACATATAGCAATTATCTTGCACTTGTGAAATACCTACGGATTTAGGTCACTTACACCACGTACCTACTGTTGAAAATATAGTGTGTTACGACACACACAGAATCATGAGGTTCTTTCTGGGAAATTAATTTACTAAAGCATGTTAAAATGATTTTTCTATCGGATACGAAAATCCGAATCACGAAAACGTGAGAATTAATAATGTACAGCCTGTACATTATTAATTGTGACAAAGATAAAATCATTGATATTAATGGAATGTAGGTACTTACTTTGTATGTCTTTACTCTATATTCTTTGTTTAACGGAGGTAACAGAACATTGAGAATGACGCTTCCCTTCATGTCTGTTTTTAAGAAATCCTGCATTGTCACAGTTTTTTTGAATCCCCGTCGTGGACCTGAAAAAATAATAACACTGGTCAACAAAATTTTGTAACAAGAAAGGTGCTTGCTAATTTTAAATTACCTACCTACCCTCAATTTATTCCCATATTTATTTTGATTCCAACAGGTCTAGTTTTCGTGTTACAGCTACTACCCACACAAAATTAAAAATTAACCGTTTTTGTTTCACTTTCGCATTCAGAGAAATTGTTTATTTGAAGAGCGTAGTGTTTTGTTCTGTTTTTAGAGTTAAGTGATTCTTAAATAATGTCAAGAAAGTGCAAAAATGATCCTTACAAGTTTTTTTAATTTGTGGTGACATTACTTTCAAAACTCAGCGAAGGAATTTGACACCATTAGTAACTAAGTTACATAAACAGTTTTTTGGCTTTTCCATCGGACAACAAGACAAAGTGAGGATTCCATACATCTGTTGTGTTACATGTGTGGGTCTTTTCACTGGGTGAGCGAAAAGATCTCGATCTATGCCTTTTGCAATCCCTATGGTTTGGGCGGAACCAACGAATCACTCATCTGATTGTCATTTTTGTCTTACTGATACAAAAAAGGTATTACAAAGTAAAATTAAGTATCCTGACCTGCCTTCAGCCTTCAGCTAAAAGACCGATCCCTCATAGTGAAGATCTATCGGTAGTCCGCTACCAGAACCACCTCAAACTAGCGATCTGGCCGTTACGCCAAAAATCGAAAAGACACATTGGATCCTGACTTTGAGGGCATATTTGTTGGCCCTCAAATCAGGGAAATTGATAAAAGATGATATATTAATTTAAAAAAAGCTTAGTAATTTAGAAAAATCAGCTTGGGAATCTTTCATGAAAGTAACTTCCAATTTTCTAGGAAATCACCGATCAAGTGACCATAAATGTATTATTGCGGAGCTTTTATCTACTTATAAGGCTTTGGCCTGTAATATGTCATTGAAAATACATTTTCTTCATTCATATTTAGACTTCTTCCCTGAAAATTTGGGCGCCATCAGCGATGAACACGGTGAAAGATTCTATCAAGACTTCTACCATAGAAAAGCGATATCAAAGCAAGTGGAGCCCACGAATGTTAGCGGATTACTGTTGGACATTAAAACGAGACATTTCTGAAGCAAAATACAGACGAAAATCATAAAAGGAAATTCATATTAAAGTTGCAATAAATCGAAATAACTTCTTCTTGTTGATAAAAATTCAAAATTTCTAAAATGTTATAAAACGGTATTACAAAAAAACTATTCGTATTTAAAACATTTAAATTGTATTTCTAGTATCCTTATCCTTGTCCTAATCATAACCAGACAAAAGTTTTCATGTTACATGCAAAAGTTGTTTTTTTGTTGACTAGTGTAATATTAAGTTACTGACTAATACAAATCAAACACGAATGTTACAGTTACCGCAGACTACAGTACCTCTAGCATGAACAACTTTCGTCTTAGAATCGTTTGCGTATTCGACTAAATTCGATACAAAGCCAAATACGAATTCAACCTTCGAATTAAACAGTAACGTGACAATTTTTATTGTCAAAATAAGTAAATATATTCTTGCAACCATTTCTACTAATAAGTTCACTTTACGACACGTTCACAACCATACTGAATCTTTAGATTCGAATACGCAAACGATTCGAAGTCGAAAGTTTTTCGTGCTAGAGATACAGACTTTTTGTCGGCCGATAGTTTAGCCGGTCTGTTGATCAATCAGTATTAGCCAATTCCTCATACCTACTGCAAGCCGACCAAACTTCGACCGACTAAAATTCTGTGGGTTGTCTAAAGCCGTCTGTTAGCTTGAACTTACATATCGTCAATTGGGCACCGACAGTTTCAAAAAGAAGAAAAAGGTCTGAAGGAAATTCGTTATGTTTATGCTTTATCATGAGATTTCCAGCGATAGTGCCAATCTGGAAGGAAAACAACATTGTTTAATTTGAATAATTCGATTAAATAAAAACGCACAAAAAAAAGTTGTGTGTGATTAAATAAACAATTTACAATCGTTAACACCATTCAAATGATCAATGAACTCGTACTTACATAGTACTAAGTAATTTACGTTTTAGTAGATATTCGTGTCTCAATAATCTATCTATACAGGGTGGAAACGATAAGTGATCTCACTCGATTATTTCTAAACTATACAATATATTTGAAAACTAGTTAATGATCCTAAAAGTACTTCACGAGCTCTATTCAACGGTATCAATAATTAGTTACAAAATAAACGGGATCTATCCGAAAATTCAATGTTTGTAGCTTCCATACATTTAGTAAAGCCACATAATATTAAAAACTGTACGAGATATCGTAAAAATGGTACTGATCCTGAAAGTACTTCACGAGATCTATCCAATGGTATCAGTAATAGCTTACAGAATAAACTGGATCTATGCAAAAATTCAATGTTTCCATTTTCCATACATTAAGTTCTACCACAGTCGTGGCACTCAACTCTTGATAATATTATAGCAAGAAAAGCCTAAAATCAATATTTTCCATAAATATTTTTAAATAACAATGCAATTCACGACCTTATTTTACGAGTTTATTATTTAATTAAAAAAAATACACTTTTGATATTGTGTGTCTGGCATACATTTAGTATGGAAACTGGAACTATTGAATTTTCGAATGGATCCGAGTTTATTCTGTAATAACCTATTATTGGTACCGTTTGAAAGAGCTCGTGAATCACTTTCAGGATCATTAACCAGTTTTTTGATTATCTTGTATAGTTTAGAAATAATCGAGTGAGATTACTTATCGTTTCCACCCTGTATAAATAAAAATGAATTGATGTTCGTTAGTCTGATTAAAACTCGAGAACGGCTGGGCCGATTGATCTGATTTTGGTTTTAAAATGTTTGTCGTAGTCCAGGGTAGGTCTAAACGGTGAGCAAATAAGGAAAAATTGCGATGGCTTATTTATTGCCTTTAAGGCAGGTGGCAGAACAGAGTTCGCCGGGTCAGCTAGTAATTAATATAAATCATGTTTCAGCCCAATGAGGATCAGTACTGTTGTAGAAAATTCAATAAAACTAGTATCTACGTTAATCTTTAAGACATAAGAAAGATATATCTTTTTGAATTATCCAAATCGGACCATTACTTACGAAGATATTAAGTAATAAACATAGGCCGTTTTTGCCGCTAAAAGTCAACGTACGCAAGGCCGCGTGACGTCATTATATCCGAATCGAGCGCAGCCGGCGTACTAATGGGATGGAAAATATTTTTTTCCGGCTAAACTATCAGTTTTAGAAAAAAACTTTTAATAACATTTATTCTTCAAAATAAAGTAACCTATCGACCAGTAATTTTTAAAAATAAAAATTGTGAAAAATAAGTATTGCTATAAAATTACCTATCGATAGCTTACTTTATTCTGATGAATAAATTACATTACAAGTTTTTCTCTAAAACTGATAATTTGGCTAGAAAAAAATATTTTCTATCCACGCAGTACGCCGGCAGCGTTCGGATCGGATATAATGACGTCATCGTCCCCGCGCCGGGCGGTCAGTGAACTTTTTTAGTAATTTGGCCATAACTTCGTCAATTTTTGTCGTAGAACAAAAATTTTTGCACTGTGTATTAAGGATTTCTTAGCCCTATAAATCTGCATTCACAGCTAAAAATCGAAATGATCCTCATTGGTAGTAGTAGAAAGTCGTTATTACTCGGAAGTTGTTAATGCCTGATTTCACCATCAATCCCTATTTTTGAAGTGACCCCTATAAAACAAAATTCCAGTTATGTTACCATAGGGGTCACTGAAAAATTATCGGATTGATGGTGAAAACGGGCATGAATCTCTTATAACATCGGAGTCTTCAGGGCAAGCCGTTTGTTTGGTTTCTCTTTTATCTTCTATTTAGTAGGATTACAATAGAATAGAACAGTATTTCCCAAAGTGGGCGATAACGCCCCCTTGTGGGCGCTGCAGGCTTAAAGGGGGGCCGATAAGAGACCCAGAAAAAAAATCGGGACGTTGTGTAGAGGCTTGGGAGGCGTCATCTACTAGGAGGACTCTTAGACACCGACTGAGCTCGACTCTTGACTACAAAAATGGAGGGCGCTAAAAAATAATTTATTCTCAAAGTGGGCAGTAGACTAAATAAGTTTGGGAACCCCTGGAATAGAATAATAATAGTAAAAGGTATGTTATTACTTACATTTCTTACAGGAATATGAGCAACCAATCGGAGATGATCATAAAATGCACTCATGTAAGTAAAATCGTCATCTGTGCTGGCGGCTTGGAATATGTCCAACAGCTCACTCAGTGTTGTCCCTGCGTTCACTACTAAGTTCTGGTCCTTCTGCCAGCCTTTTAATTCCGATACTCCGCTTATGTCAATCAATGTTGAAGGGTAGTCGTCTATGGGATAAGCTCCTGAAAAAGCAGGAAAAAATTTACGATTCTATTAGGTACACCCAACTATTCCTTAGTCTAAAATACTCGATATACATATACGAGTATGGCCAACTTTATCCTTAAGACATCGTGCACACTAAGTACAAACTTTTTTATCGGCCAATAGTTTCGTCGACTTCTTATTTGAATGAGGAATTGGCCCGGCCGGCACCAAATCAGTGTAGGTGCGTGCACTTTCATATTTGTCCACGCTGATTGACAGCCCGACCAAACTATCTTTCTACAAAAATTCTGTAGTCTGCAAGGACTCATAGAGTTAGTTACTTACCCTTTGCTGTATTCCCAGCAACAAGCATGTACGATTCAACTCCTCTTCTTTTAAATACTTCAAATATATCACGAATCGTTGAAACTCTGAACCAACATTTCCCGTCCTTTAAATCAATTTCCAATATGTTTGGATAATCCTCTTTTGTAATAACGCACCAATCGTCTTCATCGGTACATTTTTTAGTACATGGCGATCCGTTCTTTTTACATTTGGGCATGTCTTCTATATCTTCCAAATTGATACGTTTCGGGGCATCTTTTGCAAATTTTTTGAAGGCATCCAAAATGGGTCTGTATCCAGTGCAACGACAAACGTTACTGCCAAATGACTGTTCAATTTCGAACATGGTAAGGTTGTTTTTACTTTGCAGAAGGCTGTAAAAATACACGGTATTATGACGCCAAAGATTCGAACTACTCGCATTGTATATTAGGTATGTAAATCAGTTCATAATCATGAGAAGTTTACAATGGATCATAAGACTGGTTTTTGCTAGCATATTTTTTACTTATTTCCTACGATTCAGTCGAATTTTGATCGCAATTATTTTACTACCAAAAAGCTCAGGATTTGCCTCACTGGATGCGTTCTGTGTACCTACCATGAGTTTACGTTAGGTGTGCTCGCTACCGAGTACGTCAAAAATCTCTATGAAGATTTTGTTTCTTGAAAGTAGTCGCTAGGGGGCGCTGCACAATATGTCATACAATTAATGTCATTTTTTTACGCAGTCGCTAGGGAGCACACCTAACATAAACTCATGGTAAGCACACTGTGGTCTGTCAGGTCAAAGTAGACGCAGCCCACATCATTTTTGAACAACATTGTCAATCTCTATACTTACGAGTACAAAACATGTTTTGTATTGTTGCGATCTGACAGGGCGAGCATGAGCAAAGAACGCAAACTGACAGGTACGTGCTGGTTTTTTACTTGAACGCAGACCGCATCCACTGTGAGAAATCCTTTAGGGCTTAAATTATGGTGTCACTTTTAAGTGACCACAGAGTACCGGTTGAGGTCGAACCCGTAATCAGGGCACTCTCGCGCACTGACGGAACGCACTGCACTTTCATTTTGAGGAATCTGATGGCGCATGTATCCGTGATATTGTTAAGTTCTGTCAAGTTGAATCAATTCAGAAAAAAATATCGAGTTCAATTCAAAAGACATCATTCTGTCTGACCCCAAATGTCTTAAAAATTATTCGACCTACAACTCAAGTTAAAAAAACAACTTGATGCTTTTCTTTTTTTGAAATTCAAAGGCATGCCTACATTTCATTTGAAATCAATCAAGTGCCTACTGTACCTATACCTACCACGTTTTAACTTAGCGCCTAAAGATAAGTATAAATTGATATTTTGGAATGGAACTTGCCAACCGTTGTCAACGATGAAGATTATTTATTTAGTTTATTTTCTGTGATGGGATAACTTTCATAATTACCTGTATAAAGCCATAACCCATCCTGGAGAACAATACCCACATTGACTACCATTGTATTCCGCGAGGGTCTTCTGTATAGGGTGGTAGCCGTCATGCCGGTTCCCAATCTTTTCTATGGTAGTGATGTCCCAGTTGTAGCAAGAAGTTATCGATACCAAGCACTGTGGAAGAGAAATCATTTCATTATACTGTTGGATCATCCAATGGAATTCACATTTTCGGAGTATTTAATTAAATCGATGCTGAAACTGTCATTAAACTTTTTTATCTGCATCTAAAACTAAAACACAGTTAATAATCGCAAGGATCCACCATCAGCATTAATAGTATACATTTATAATTATAATTTGTGCTTAATATACCAACGACAGCAAAATTCCGTTAAGGTCATTTGAAAGTTAAGTAACATTGTTATCTCACAGTCACAAAAAGGTTACTTTCGTACACAATTGCCAATTAATTAGTAAAGGGAAGCGTACTGTCACCGCGTTAAAACAAATGCATATCTAAATTAGGGTATTCTTACAGCGTTAACGGAGGTCGGCGCGGCACCAGGTGTTTTGACTACAGACACTATGCATGCGCCACAGCCACCTTCTCTGCACATGTACTTAGTACCGCGCAACTCCAGGTAATCTCTCAAGTAGTCCAGTAATGTCACATGAGAGCTGACCTCGCATCCCACTGTAATAGATAGGTATAATTAATTAGTTCATTAATGAACATACTGTGGCGGCTTTTATTTAATAACTAGCTTTCTACCCGCAGCTTCTTCCGGGATTTTTCCGGAAATTATTCGAATTTTTCTTTTCATAAAAACCATCCTTGGATTTCAACGAAAATTAAAAAAAAAGAATTGGTAAAATTGGTCCAGGCATCTTTAACGCATAACTCATGCGCTTTTACTAACGCATTTTGCGATTCATTTTCAACCGACTTCAAAAAAGGAGGAGGTTCTCAATTCGACCCGTAGATATGTTTTTTTTTTCTATGTTTGTTACGCAATAACTCCGCCAATTATGAACCGATTTGAACAAATCTTTTTTCAGCGTATAGGTAATACCTCAAGGGTGGTCCCATTTAAATTTAATAATAGAAAAAACAACCCCCAAGGGTGGAAAATTGGGGATGAACTTTTTTATACGCAATATCTCCGCCGATTTTATATCAATTTGCACGATTATTTTTTTTGTTGAATAGGTATTATCAAAAGGGTGGTTTCATGCGAATTTGAAGAAAATATTTCACCCCCAAGGGTGGAAAATTGGGGTTGAACTTTTTTATACGCAATATTTTAAATTTTTAGTTTTTTTTTGTGTTCACGCATTTGAAGTCGGTTTTATTTTTTTAATTATAAATAAAAGATTACAATTTAAGTGCGATTTTGCAACAAAAATATGTCATCTGATCGTAACAACACAAGCAGAAGTTCAGTTTTTTGTCCATCATTTGCCAGTAATCCAGTTTCAACAAACTAGTCTAGAATTTATGAAAGCAGTTATCTACAGTTAGTACACACTGATGTATGATCTGTATAACTGTATTGCTGCTTTCTCAATGTCCAAACATAAAGCAGACTATACCTACATATTTTTATGACTATTTTTTAATTAAAATGTTTTTTGAAAAGTAGATTTAACTCCACGCAGCTAACCTATTAATTTATTCCATCATCATCATTTCACTCATAGTACATCAACTGCCTACCTGCGTAGGCCTCTCTCAATGAATTCATGAATATTAATTATTTTTATGTACATTTTGCCTACATTTTTACGTACAAATTATTTTGCTATTGAAGTGTTAATTAGTTTACGTTTTGTTACACGAGTTTACGCATGTGTAATTTTTTGTCCTTGTAAATTGTATTTCTTGTAAAAAAAATACTACCTTAACAAATAATGTGTACTTACCTACTTATTTCTACCTCGAGAATAAAACGTTTTTCTTTTTCACTTTAACATTTTGTTAATGCAATTATTTTTCTACTTTTGAGTGTACTTTTTGGAGTTAACTGAAATTTATTTATTTCTTGCTTTTTATTTAACCTTGTTGTTAACATTTAAAAGGCATAACATATTATAACCTTCACACATAAATAAAGAATTATATCTTCCTGCACATTTATGTACAATTAAATGCTGTTGAAACATTGTTAAACAAATAAAATAAAATATCAAAAGCAATTTTCTAATTTTTTGAAGGACAGGAATCTGCCTGATCTAAAACTACTACGAGTTGTAAAAAAGTTTAAAATTTTAGAAAACTATATCGTGACTTTTATTAATAAAAATCAATCATCTTAATTGGTTAAAATCGACGTATAAAATCGGAAAATAAATTTTACAAATGCATATTTTCAGGGTTCTGAAACTTCGAGTAATAAAATTGAAGAACATAAAAATATTTACTTATTTTAAATTTCATTTAATAGGTAAAAAGTGAACCCACGACCTACGACACGCCTACTCTTACCATTAGCCTACGGACATTAGTTAACCAATATTGAACTGATTCTTACGCTGCAACACCATTTTATCAATGCAAGGGTAAAAAGTAGATGACACTTAAATAAATTATTAATTAATGCATTCTGAATTCATTGTTTCAACATAGTAATAGTACTCATTCAATATTAACTTTTGAAACACATATACTAAATATTTACAAATAAAAAATAATACGTCCTAAATCGCTGTCCAAACAACGCGACATGGTGCCCAGAATGCTGGCTCAATATTATAAATTAAAATTTATATCTCTAAAATTAAAGTATATAGCTACGCATGACACAAAACTTGATAATTATTATTATATTTTTCCTAGCAAAAGTGTAGGTATAATAATGCAGTGCATTATAAAAAGTATGATAAGTCATGTAATATTCTACCACTGTAGTTATATTAATTTTATGTTAACTGCATTTTTATTTTTTACTGCTTATATTGTGATGTCTAGTTTCGAATTTAACAAAACAAAAAAAAAATGCTAAAAATTTATAACATAGATAAACAAAAGTTACATAAATAACCGCAACAACATCAAAGCTGATTATCTCGTTAAACATCTCCTAAAATTAATTAAAAAGCCTCGATAATTAATGTTAGTTAATTAAAAAACAAAAACTTACCGTAACACTTGACTCCGTTCACAGTGAAGTATATCCTGTCCATGACCGAGTGATTCCACCGTATGTCGGTGACTGGTTCATACAAAAACTTTAACTTGATGCATCCAACGAACGAAAAATGGTGTAAACACACGCCTTTAAAATGCGTGCCGGCCCGCTAAACTTCAGCGTTACAATAAAAACGTGTAAAAAAACTATTTTTTGCCTAAAAAAAACTTATAAAATCTTCTAAAATCAATTTTCTTATATTAAAATATTACCTTATAAATAGTAGTAAAATAAAAGTATCCTACTTCCTACTAATATTATAAATGCGAAAGTTTGTATGGATGTCTGGATGTTAACATGAGTTTGTTACTAACTACTGAACGGATTTTGCTGGAACTTTACAGTATTATTGTTTATAACCCAGAATAACATACAGGGTGGAAACGATAAGTGATTTTACTCGATTATTTCTAAACTGTATATCTACAATATATCGAAAACCTGGTTACTACTGATCCTAAAAGCTGCTGTTTCAAACGGTAAGTATCAATAATATGTTACAGAATAAATTGGAACTATTTGCAAATTCAATGTTTCCAGCTTTCCACCCTGTATAGGCTATAATAAAATTTATGACGCTCTGTGACAAACTTTTCACGCGGACGAAGCCGCGGGCAAAAGCTAGTAGAAAATAAAACAGTTTCAATGTATGCTAATGTTAAAAAACATGTTTATAAAGCGCGGCTTTTATTTACTCCATTACAAGTGGTCTAGGTATTTAATAGAATTTATTATGCATCTAGTATTAACGTCGACGAGTAGGTACTATTTACAATATGTAGGTTTTTTATGTCACTATAGGCCTTATACAGAAGCTCAAAGTTGCACAGCGTGCTATGGAGAGGGCTATGCTTGGTGTTTCTTTGCGAGATCGAATCAGAAATGAGGAGATCCGTAAACGAACCAAAGTCGCTGACATAGCCCGACGTATTAGCAAGCTGAAGTGGCAATGGGCAGGGCACATAGCTGTACCCCCAGTGAAAAGGGATCTAACTCGACTTAGATCAAAATTAAATAAATAAATAAAATAAATAAATATCCTTGGACATTTTACACTACGCCGCTAGCCCCAAACTAAGCAAAGCTTGTACTATGGGTACTAGACAACGGATATAAACATACTTAAATACTTTTTTTTTTGTAAATACATACATTTATACATAGAAAACACCCAGTCCAATACAAACAAATATGTTCATGCACACAAATGTTTGTACTGTGCGGGAATCGAACCCGCAACCTCCGGAATAGTAGTCCGATTCGAACCACTACACCAAACGGCCGACTTGACTTTATAACATAATGTGAATCTCTGAAAAATTTGCTATTTTTGTATCTAATCGATATGTTTCTACGACGTATAGAAAAGAAAATAATTTTGTGCCAAATGATACAAGTAAGGCTTTGTGAACCAATTTTGAGTTTTCTTTCGTGTATATTGATACATCTCTACTTTTAACAACGTGTACCGGAGGCTTCTTTCAATTTTTTATTGTGTCAAGCAAGAGGTACGACTCGTATTACTACTTTTTACACGATTGAAGTTGTTCAGATTGAATTTGTGATCAACAATATAAGATGACTCATATTAATATACACAAAAAAAACTATGTATTGTTGGTTGGTGAAAAAGAATATAACTTAATTTATAGCACAAAAAGTAAAAGACAAATGATTATTTATTTTGTGTATAATGATTCAATTAGACTAATACCATTAACCACAAAAGTTTCGTACATGTGTAAAATGTTATCAGTTACTTAGATCAAAAACATTTGAAAATCGCAACTAATGATTTGGTTAATTATTTGGTGTAAAATGATATAACTTAGCCCAATTGTCAGATTAAAGGAAAACATAATGCGTAGTTTATAAATCAAAGAACTTTAGTTAATAGTTTTAATAAATAATGGTTAACATCTACTAGTAAAACATATAATTGAATTCATAGTGCCTAACGTTGTCAATAAAAGTACTTAATAAGTGCATTATAGAATTAACAAGAGCTCCAACTACTAGAACTCTTTATAAACAAAACTCATCACCTTAGACAACAAATTGAACTGGGCGAGTCATGTCGAGAACAAAATAAAAATGGCCTGTATAGCATTCCATCAGGGCAAGAGACTCATCGGTAGTAGATGAGGTCTCAACCCAAAGATAACACTGGCTCTACACGTCGGTTATATGGCCCTCTTACACATATTATTATAGATCACTTGTATGGTGGCACAGAACACAACTATCAACAGCAAGATTTTTGATCCAAAGCCTGCAACGCCTAGTAAGCATAGCGGCCACTAGTTGTATGAGAACCACTCCATCGACATCACTTGAGTACCTTCTAAATCTCAGATCTTTAGACCTCATCATTCAGGAGGAAGCGCAAGCAGCCGCTCTAAGACTTAAAGGTAAGAACGGCATATAGAAGCAAAACAAGGAGACAGGACATTCCACGATCCTGCACAAAACCCTAATAAAAGAAATACCTCTCACCGAGGCACCTATCGGCAGAATTCCCTGTGTTCACTCTTCGACTGAAGATATAATATCCAGCTTACAGCGGAAACGCAAGATTGCTCTGGAATCAATGAAGTTAGGATATTACACTGACGGCTCCAAAACCCAAAAAGGTACGGGAGCTGGTGTCTTCTCGAATTACCTAAATATACTAAGAATATCAACAACACTAGATAAACACAATACAATTTTCCAAGCAGATTTCAATCAGAGCAGCACAGAAGGTTGCAACCATGGATGTCTATCCTAGGTCTGAATATAAAAATAATCTCAGATAATGCAAGCAATACAAAGCAACTTAATATACTACATTATAATACTTATATTGGAATGCCATGACGCGCTCCTAAGTCATTGCAGATGCAAATGGCGTTACCCTGCACTCCTGAAGTGGATCAAAGGACACAGTAACTCCTTGGGCAACGACGCAGCAGATGAACTGGCCAGAAGGGAGATCGTACACGACGGTATTTGGTCCGGAACAATTATAATGCCGATACCATAAGCACAGATCAAGACCTGGCTGCGCTCCAAAATAGAAAAATAACACCACACAGAATGGAAAGATTGTGAAAGATGTAGGCAAACAAAAGATGCAGTTGTGGATATCGTCACCGTCGTGGCAGAATTAAATAACTGACACTTTTGGCAAAAACCACTTTTTCCACTTTTTGTATAGTAGAAAGTGTTACCTATATTTTGGTCTTACTCTCGTGGCAATATCTATGATATTTCCAAAGATATCTTCAGTTTAGTGAAACTATTGACCATAAATTACAACTCTGTTTGTTGTAGAATTTACGTGGCAAAACTGAATAAGTGACTTTATTTAATTCTGCCACAACTCACTACGAAACATTGCTTCAAAATACTTGTACTAAGAAAGTCAATAAGTGACTTTATTTAATTCTGCCACAACTCGATCCGAAACATTGCTTCAAAATACTCGTACAATTGTGTTTTTGATTTATTTCATTTTTGTAACATTACTTTAAATGTTACTTTTAATTTCAATATTCATTACTCAGATGTTGAATCTGGATAGTTACCTTCATCATCATCATCATTTCAGCCATATAGGACGTCCACTGTCGAACATAGGTCTCCCCCAATGATTTCCAATATGACCGGCTGGTAGCGGTCTGCATCCAGTGCTTTCTTGCTACCTTTATGAAATCCACGTTGTGCTTTCCGGTACGTGGCCTCCACTCCAGAACCTTGCTGCCCCATCGTCTGTCAGTTCTGCGTACTATGTGCCTTGTCTGTACAGAAAAACTGAGCATAGCCCTCTTCAAAGCGCACGCTGTGCAACTTTGAGCTTATTTATAAGGCCTATAGTAAGAGGCCGCGTTCCCGAGCCGTATATCATCAGTGGTAACACATACAGATTGTAGATTTTCGTCTTTAGGCACTGAGATATTTTGGATGAAAGGATGATGTGTAGTTTCCCGAACGCTCCCCAGCTGAGTTGGATTCGACCTCTTTCTCTACCTAGCTGAAACGTTTGTCCGAGGTAGACATACTTGTCAACAATCTCGAGATTCGAGCTCCTAACCGAAACTGGGTAGGACGCAACATAGACATTTGACAAAAGCTTCATTTTTCCATGTTGTTCACCCGAAGGCCTACCTTTTGGGAGATTAAGGTCTTCCAATGACTTTGCCATGATCACACAATATCGTCGGCAAACCGAAGGTGAGTGATGTACTCGTCGTTGATGTATATCCTTTCTATTCAAGGAGTTTGAAAGCGTCTTCCAATGCAGCGGTGAATAGTTTCGGAGATCCGGAGATATAACATCTCCCTCATGCCTCACTGCAAAGGAATCGCCCTCGTACTCCACTCCTGTACTCGGACCAACATGGTGGCGTGTACAAGCACTTCAGCACCTCGATATGTACCGATACTTTTCAGAAACCGGCTTGTTCGGGAGGCTGGAAGTCATCGATCCTACGCGCGAGATCATTCGTGATAACTTTCGAAAACAGCTTGTAGACATGACTCAGAAGCGAGATTGGTCAGTAATTCTTCAGCAAGGTTTTATCCCCTTTCTTGAAAAAGAGTAGGTAACACCACGCTTCTCTTCCATGCCTCTGGCGTTGTTCCCTGGAGTAAGACGAAGTTAAATAGTCTCTGAAGGACTTGACTTTAATATCGATGTTCCACCCGAGTTCAGAAGCTCCGAGTTTATTCCGTCATCCCCCGTTGCCTTGTTGTTCTTGAGGTGTTTGAGAGCCATCCTAATCTCGTATAGGCTGATAATGCTGATATCCACAATATCTTCGTCGAGGTATATAGCTGTCCATAAAACTTTTCAATCTCACCCAGAACCTCGGCTTTTGTTGACGTTACACTACCTTCCGCAGTCTTCAGCTTTGTCAGCTAGCTTCGCCCAATAGAGTAGTCTCTTGCGAACACTTTGGAGCATTGGTTCCGCCCTATCGTCTCTTTAATACTATTTGTATTAAAGTTGCGAACATCATGTCGGAAGGACTTCCATA